TTGCAGCTGAGAACTTAATCCAGGTCTCCCTTGTGGGTGGCAGTGACCCCAGTACTTGCTACCTCCCCAGGTACACATCAAGAGCAGGGTAGCATTGGGAGCAGAGCCAGGCTTCCAGTCCGGCAGTAAATGTGGGATGAAGCTATCCCAAGTGGTGCCTGAACTGCTGGGCCAGACACATGCCCCTAAAATATACCCTAAAATATTCCCACATTCGAGAAACATGGAAATGTTGATCACATGCTGTGTACTGTGTTAGGGCTGGTGCAATATGGGATGAAACCTGACACCGTCTGCATTGTTCTTATCCCATCTGGGGACTGAGCCGTCAAAGACCCCTGCCCTGCCCACTCCTTCTCCAAGTTCACACAAAATTGGCCCTGACTTGGACCACAGAGGAGCAGGACTGAGTGTTCTTTGGGTCTGGGAAAGGAAGGCTTAGCAATGAAGGGAAAGGCTGGAGGTCTGGGCAGAGGAGGACCTGGCATGCTCAAGCGCCCTGGCGTAGGAGGGAGCGGGGTTGAGGAGGAGTGATTAGTGCAACCGGGCAGGCTGCGCCAGAACTTGCCATTCGTGCTAAGAGATTTTTGTCTTGATTCCAGGAGCCCTGGGGACTCATTGAAGGGTTGAAGTGGGGAGTGACCTGATCAGATTTGCATCTTGAACAGACCACTCTGGCTGAGACCTGAAGAACAGATTGGAGAGGAGCCAGAGTGACCGCAGCGAGCCCTTTCCGGGGCTCTGCAGGGCTGCTGGTCGGAGCCGGGCCGGTCTGCAGGGAGGGTCTGGGTCTCTGTATAGGACCCCTTTCTCACTGTTTGGGCAGTGACCAGGCAGGGACATTCTTTCTTCCCACAGTTCTCTGGTCTGTTAAAGGAAGCTTGTGAGCCTGGGAGAGCTGGCTCCTTTGCAGGGGACACATTGCATACACAAGTTTCTGTGGACCCTGCAGGCAGGGCTTGTTTTTGGAGGACAGCTGAGCTCTCCTGGACCCCTGTAGCCACTGCTGGCTCGGGCCACTGTGGGGACATTCTGAGTGACTATAGTGAAGCTCAGGCAGTTCCCACGTACCCCTTGGGGCCCGGACGGCCACTCCTACCCTCCTGGGAAGTCCTGGCATGCTTTGCTTCATCACAGTCACTCAGATGCGAGATGGTCTGTGTTCCTTGAGAGAATAATGTGTGTGCCACCTCTAGCTTGTCCCCAGTGTTTGCCATCCTGGGTTAGCTGGCGAGAGTGGCTTCCTCCTATGTGCTCAGCCTGGTTCCATCCTCAGGGATTCCCTAGCGCCCTTTAGAGCCTTGCCATGTTCAGACACATCTTTGTGTTTGTGCTTGCCCCTGTTTGGCCATCTGCACAGTGGACAGTTATCCTGATCAGTTGCTTTTCTACCATGGCGGCTCAAAAAGGAAGGGGTCGGGGATTGTTATGTCAGGTGTCTTCCATAACATTGGACCAAGAAATCCCATTCTAGGAACATTCTTGTCCTCCCAGTGTCCACCAGCCTCCCGCGGAGTTGCTTCACACTGAACCTTGCTGAGAGGGCCCAGGGATTTTGAGAGCAGGAATCAGGGGGTGACCCAGGAACCTGGGGCTCCTGAATGAGGGGCACTTGAGAGCAAAAGGAGCAAGGGCACCGTTGTCCAGCGTCAGGACCCCACAGGGGGCCAGTGCACAGCAAACCAGCTAGGCTCATTTGTTAATTCATCTCCACCAGACAGGAGCTGGACCCAGAGGAAGCTGACTAGGGAGGAAACATTCTAGAATAGGAAGGGAAGTTCTTTCTGTGGGATGGGATTACGTGAGATTTTAATTTTTTCCTTTCTTCTTTGAGAAAATGAAAAATGTCAAGAATGTGCATATATTACTCTATTTTTAAATGTGACAACCTGAATATTATACTGGCTTATAAAAATATAAATGCCCTTAAAAACATCCAAGCCATTCAGAAAAGTTAAAAAAAAAAAGGAGCTAGAGTCATCTGGAGTCTCACTGTTGTGCGTTTGGAACCATCACTCTGTGTACACACGGCTCCGGCTCATTGAGCATGCACCCTTGTGTGGGAGTGTGTGCATGTGTGTTGACAGGTATGCAGGTGTGTGTGTGTCGCCCATGTGTGCATGTGTATGTGTCTTGTGATGCTTTCTTATCCTCTGTCATGGACAGACTTCCTTGTGAAAACAACCCAATCTGGACCATGTTAAATGGCCTCTCACAAATGTGCTGGATTCAAGTGTGTACATGGCCTGGCCTGTGTGTGTGCCCTATGGATGTCCATGTAAGTTACTTTACATTTGTGCTCTTAGAACCAATGCTGACATGCTGTTAGAACAGAGAAGAAACAAGACACGGGTTAGGGTGCTATTGTCCCACACTGGAGTCTCCACATTTGTTTTTGGCTCTTGCTCTTGACCCCAGTTTCTACTCATGCAGACCCTGGGTGGGGGGCAAGGGTGATGGCTCAAATAATGGGGTTCTAGCCGCCCACTCAGGAGACTGGGGTTGAGTTCCCAGCCCCTGGCTTTGGCCTTGGCCCTGGCCCAGCTAATGCAGACAGGGAGTAAACCAGAGCATGTGAATGTCCTCTTGGCTGTCTTGCCTCTTAATTATTAATCAGTTAAAAACAGCATCACTGAAAGTGCCTTGCAGTTTGGGGATGGGGATGGGATTATCATAGAACAAGCTCAGGATTTGGGGCTGGTCAGGTGAGGCTCATGTTGGGTAGAGCCAGGTGGGGCTCACCATGGCTGGTTCTTGGAGGGCCAGTCAGTACAGTGAGGGCCTTCCTAAGCTCTGACACCCCGAAGGCTGGGCCGGCCCCTGAGGGCCTGTGAGAAAAGAGAGGGGCATAGGGACCTGTGTCTCCAGTTGCTACCCATACTAGGAGCCAGGTCAAGGGCAAGGGCAGTACCAGGAAAGTGTGGTGGGCTTGTCAATGTGGAGCCACAGTCTGACCCGCAGGAAAGGCTTGGGTCCCAGGAGTGGATGACGTGGCTTCTGCCACTTACTTGGAGGTGTGTGTGGGTGTGTTGTGTTGGGGAGGCATTGGCTTTGTGGTGCTGCATAATCTGTATCATCTGTAAGATGGGTGCAAAACTCTCTGAAGATGACCAGTGCTGAGGGGTCGATGCTGGTAACAGGTGCTGCTGTTCTTTGAAACACATTTTAAATTAAGTAATTATGAGAGTGTGAGCGAGTGCCAGTGCCTGCTGCTGGTTCCCTGCCAAAATGCCTGTAGCATCTCAGGCTGGGTAAGGTGGAAGCAGGAGCCAGGAACTCATTCCAAGTCATCCACATGGGTGGCAGGGACCCAAGGGCGTAAGCATTGCCTACTGCCTCCCAGGGTCCGCATCAGCAGGAAGCTGGCACTGGGTGCTTTCAAAAGCTCTGAGCCACAGGGCCAACAACTTGCCTCACGACACCACCCAAGCCAGGCACACTCCCTGCACACAGTAAGAACAGGGACTTGCTTCCAATGTGGTTTGGACTTTAGCCAGGCTTGTGGCTGTGTCTGGATCTTCTCACCAAAGCTGGGTGACTAGGGTGTTTGCGCGCATGAGTGCCTCTGCATGTGCATGTGTCTGTGTACATGCTGGCATGTGCCAGTGTGCATACATGCCCGTGTGTGTGTGTGTGCATGCGTCTGGGTGTCCCTGGCCTATGTGTGTGCGTGCCTGTGTGTTCCTGTGCGTGAACATGGCTGTGTGTGTATGGGGGACGCTTGGGTTTGCTACAGAGCAGATAAGTGACAGTGATGAGAAAGCTTAGGAGGTGGCCTGATTGTGGGTGGTAGTTGCCACCCCAGAGATTAGATGTTGAAGGGGCAGCTGGGGCCAGAGCCGGGGCTTTGAGAGAGAGAGTAGAACATGTGTGAACATGTGTGATTCTATGGAAGAACTGTCTGGGACATAGGGTATTGCTCCCCGAGCGGGCTGCCTTCCCGGGCTGCAGAAGCTTCTAGGGAGATTAGTGACGAGCAGAGGCTGAATGAGTGAGGCAGGGGTGCTGGGGCCAGCCAGCCAGCCAGCCAGCCTCTAAGGCAGGGTCATCGTCCAAGGGGCCCAGGGACTGTGAGGGAGTGTTTTCAGTGGACAGCAGGGCGATGCTGGAGCAGGGGCCAGACCCAGTTGGTGTGAGGGAGCAGCAGCTGCAAGCCTGGCCCTGGGTCTGGGTAGGGGGTCCTGGAAGGCTGGGCACTACCTGCTTCTCCCTCTCCTACTTCCCTGTCCACTGCAGGTCTGGCCCCAGATCTGGACGGGGGCCCTGGAAGGCTGGTCCCTGTCCCCTGCCTGCTGTTGCTGGCCTGGTTTCTGCAAGCTCCTGCCACAAGTCCTTTCTGGCTCCTTGCTGGCTTCTCAAGCCCCTGCTGACCCACAGCCACTGCCCCAGACCTGTGCCACTGCTCCCACTTCTGAGTCTGTCTGTTATGTCCCAGGCTCCAGGTTGACTATGGGGTCTTCCCCAGAGTGTTGGCTTTCTCCTTGCTGGGCAGCCCTTCCTGGTGTTATGGCCCTCAGTACCCTGAGCCAGCATGGCCTTCCCTGCTGTTTCCTGCTCAGAACATGGATACCTCCTGGGAACAGGCCACCACCGGACAATGAATTGCATTGTTCCATTTTGTAGATGAGGACACTGAGGCTGGCAGGCAATTCACTTGGATGGGCTCTCTCACTGGCCTGAATCTACTTCCATTTCTGGGAGAATGTCTTGTGACTGCAGCCAGATGGGCTCTTCCCAGGCAGGAGCTGTTTTGGTTTCTGCAGTACTCAGTGATGCACCCCACACCTGTCACTCAGCAACCCCTACACCTGTCACTCAGTGACCCACCCTATGACTGTCACTCCTACTGGCTACACCTCTGCTGCACGCAGGCCCCAGCTCGCTGGCCTTGATGTGGACTTGGCACTCAGTGACTGGCTGGAGCCATGTAGAACAGGCACTGGGGCTGAGTCTGGCCCGGCTACCCCTCCACCTCCTCCTTCTCTCCTCTCCTTCCCCAGGGAACTCAATGGCAACAACATCACCCGGATCCACAAGAACGACTTTGCAGGCCTCAAGCAGCTGCGGGTGCTGTGAGTAGGGGGTACTGCCTCTCATGAACTCCTCGGCAGTGGCCATGAGGGTCTCGGTAGAGCCTGGCTGTGGGTTGGAGGGCTGGGGGCCATGCACTGGGGTCAGTCTGGGGGACATCCTGTGGGGGCGGAGTCCTGGCTGAGAGGAGCAGAGTCCCACAGAGGGGTCCAAACAGCGACTGTGGTTCTAGAGGCTGGGAGTCCTGGGGAAAGGGACGGGAAGGCGAGGTAGCCTGTGATGGATGGCAGGACTGGTCTTCCTGGCCTGGCTGCAGACGGTCACCTCCTGCTCTGTGCTGCCATGGCCTTTCCTGTGTGTGCAGGGATTGCTGCTGTCTCCTCTTACACCTCTGACCTTGGTGAACTTGATCTCCCTGAAGGCCTCATCTCCAAATATAGTCACTGTGGGAGTTGGGGCCTCAGTGGATTGTGGGAGACCTGATTGGACACAGAGTAGTCCCAATGTTACCGGGAACCTGCACTCAGAAAGGTTCTTCAGCAAGGATACCCCCTGACTTGAGTTGGGGGGATGCTGAAGGCAGAAGAAATGCCTGTTGGGTGCACATTTGTGGCATGGGTGGCAGCCACGTCTCCCCTGTGCTTGGTTGCTCGATGGGAAGGGGGCCACACACGGCACCTGTCTTGCCAGATCCCCTGGCCATCCTGGTCTCCTCCTGTCTAGCCCAGGGCAGACACTCAAGATAATGGATTGTTCTCCCACGTCAACTTGGTCTTAGCTGGCTGCAGGAAATCCAGTCCCAGAAAATCACAGGATCTGTCACTCTCTGCCTCCAGGGGCAGTGCAGGGTCCCAGGGTTTCCACATGTCAGGGTCCTGGCTCTGCAGTTCTGAGAGGCCTTGGGGACCATGGCCCATCCTCTCAGGTCAGAGGGACAGGTCCTTGGCAGTGACTTCACTCCTCGCCTCCAGTCTCTTCTGCTCTTGGAATCAGGAGTCGCTCTCTCTGTGGGTTTCACTCTCTTTCTTCTCTCTCTATCCTTTCTTCCTCCTTTCTCTCTGTCCCTCTTCTCCATCTCTCCCTCATCTTCTCTCCTTCTCCTCTCCCTTCTCTCTTCTATCTCTCTGCCTCTCTCCCTCCTCAATCCTCTCTCCCTCTCTTCTTTCCTCTCTCCACCCCTCCCCTCTTCTCTCTCTTCCTCTCCTTCAGGCCTCTAACAAAGAAGTGTCTGATGGCAGCTCCATCTCCTGCCCCACCCCTGCAGGGCCAATTAAGCCACCTGTTTCTTTGATGTCTCAAAAATGACCACGTGATGGTCACTCCGTGGTAGCAACTGCTGCATACCCCCTGCCCTCAGCAGACACTGTGGGTTTCAGAGCTTGCCAGCAGTGAGAGGTGTGGAGTCCCATGGAACTGGTGGATGGCACCCACTCTTTATTTCAGCAGATGGGATTGGGAGGAGCCAGGGGGTGGGCAGAGCGTGCTGGCTGCATGTGTGGGCTCTGCCCAGTTGGCAAGGCTCCCCTCCTGCAAGGCTGGCCGTAGGCAGGCCCCTGTGCCTGCAGCTCCAAGACCTCCCTAGCACACCTTTTGAGTGGTGATTGCCAGGGTGGGTGGCCAAAGAACCTGAGGTGTACCTTGCTGCCAAAGTGGGTGTGCTGAGGGGCCCATGCAGGGGAACTTGCAGGGCTGTGTGCTGAGGAGTCCACTTGGGCCGGGGTGTGGGTCTCTCCCCCTCACTGACATTGCCTAGCAGTTTGCCCCACTCCTCCCTCGAGCGGCTGGTTCTGGGAGCCCCTGCCTAGCAACCTGTAGTTGTCTCTCTGCCTCTCTGCTTCCCCAGGCAGCTGATGGAGAACCAGATCGGAGCTGTGGAGCGTGGGGCTTTTGACGACATGAAGGAGCTGGAGCGACTGTGAGTATCAAGGGCTTGGGGCCCACAGGGTGGCAGGGCTGATGCCGGAGGGATGCAGTGGCTAGGGAGGGGCCCACGCGTGGCAGGCTGGCTGTTGTTGGAGCCAGGAGCAGCTGCAGCTGAGGGACAAGGCAGGGCAGGGCAGGGGGTGGGAACCCTCGGTGTGGCTCTCTGTGGCCAGAATCTACCTGCTCCATCACTACTGCCTCCCAGGGTGCATATCAGGAGGAAGCTGGAGCTGGGGACTGAGCCCAGGCACTCCCACGTAGGCTGTGGGCGTCTTAACTGCCAAGCCAAATGCCCACCTTGGTTTTTCCTCTCAGTATAGATCCTGAGTGGACCTCTGTGTTGTTTCTTCTCTATACTGCACGTGTATCCCTGATTTTTATGACTTCTGATTTTTGGTTTTTTGAAGATGGAGTAAACTTCTTAAATAGGCCTTTGACACTGAGCTGAGTGGAGAGTTCTAGAATTTTATGTCAATTCTCTCCCCACTTAGTCTTGAGGCCTCTAACAAGCAGCTTTTCTTTCCATGAATGAGTCTTTTTAAAGCATCCAACTTGGTCTTCATATTCCCCACTGGGTATTTCATTCATTTGTGGATTCCTTTAGAAGTTATTACATGAGTAAATTGACAGACATTTCTCTGGAGCAAAAAGGTGTGGAAATGTATAGAATTGTGAGTGAAGAAGCAGAAGTGTGCACCCTGGGGAGCCAGGGCACCTGCTGGCTCCCTGCTGCCGGGTGGAAGTAGACCTTGTTCCCATGTGGGCCTGTGGAGGCCACCAAGGTGAGGAATGAGGGAAATGCAAGCTCCCACGGCCCGCGTCTACCCCTGAGCCGTGACCTGGGCAAGGCATTGAGCCCATCTCTCCGAGAGGAACAGCCCAGCATCCTGGCATCCTCTTCCTCCATCAGCAGACACCCTGTGGGCAGCTGCTCAGAGCTCAGCCTCCCGGGGAGGCTGGGTGCGGAGACATGAGGTGATGTCATGTTTGGGAGAAGGAAGCCCATTACCTCTAGGATGACGCCAGAGAGTGTTTATCCCTGTGCTTGGCAGAAAGTAAGGGCCAGTGAGGGAGGATTCTACTACTATTACTGATATTTGGGGTTTCCTGTAAGCCCCTTACTATTCCCGGTTCCTTCAGTGACCTTAAACTTAGCATTGAACTCTTCCTCCTAAATGTTTTTCAGAGACTGAAAGCAGAAGGCTAGTGACTGGCCAGGGAAAGTGCATGCAGGGTTCGTGTAGGGAAGGAGACTGGGGAACTTGGAGGTAGCTAGCTGCTGTCCTTTTTCGTGTGTGGTACGTTCAGGAGCAGAGCTGCCTGGTATCACAGGCCCCTCACCCTCCACGTGCATGCTTGTTCCTCAGGCCTCTGGAAAAGAGGCAGCCTCAGAGTCGGTCCTCCAGAGGCAGTGCCTGAGACCTTGCAGCTTGTAGCACCACCCAGGTGGCACCGTGGAGCATGTCTTCTTGGTGGGCTGAGCTGATGCCTGGCAGAGACCAAGAAGCTGTTATGGGGCTGGGCAGCCTAGTGACCAAGATGCTTGAATTCCTGGGCTCAGCTCCCAGTTCTGGCTCCTGATTTTAACTTCCTGCAAGTGCACACCCTGGGAGGTAATAGGTGGCAACCCAAAGAGTTGGATTCCTGCCGTCCAAAAGGGAGACCTGGATTAAGTCCCTGGCCCAACCTCAGCTGCTGGGGCGTTTGGAGAGTGAACCAGGGGATGGGAGCTCTCCGGTCTCTAATGATAATGATCATCATCATAATAACAAAGCCACAAAGTCCTTTAAGTTTCCTGGATAGTTAAGTGACTGGCAGCTCTGTCTTCTCTCCTTTAGCCGACTGAACCGGAACCAGCTGCATGTGCTCCCAGAGCTGTTGTTCCAGAATAACCAGGCTCTGTCCAGACTGTGAGTGCTGCTCTATCTGTGGTCTCATCCCCACTGCATGGTGGGGGGCGGGGGTGTTGCTTGGTGCCCTAGAGCTGCTTGGCTGGCAAGAGAGGCTCAGGGCCTCTGGGCCGGGCTTTCTCATTGGAGGGTGCTATGCTGGGCATTTCTCCGTGGGCAGCCGCTGGGGGACCCCACACTGCCTTTAGTCCCATGTGGTACTATTAGCAGTGAGTGCCAGGTGTTCTGACTATGGGCACACCTGCCGACGCGAGGCAAGACCAGCTTCACGCAGGTGCCTTCCCACATGCTGCTGCCTGCCTTGGGTTGTGCTGGGTTCATTCAGCTAAGCCTTTCTTGGACCTGGAGTTTCAGTAGTCAGCTCAAATCCCCTTAGGGTTACGTGGTCCATGGGTTTATTAGTGCAGTGGAAAATCATGTTGGTGTTGCCGTCAGCACTTTCCTTTAAGTTTAAAAGCTCACTGGGACTCCTGCTCCTGCTTGCTGAGCCTCTGTGTCTGTCTTTCCATTGTCTGGTCTACTTTGGGGTCTGGGGTTGGACAGGATATTTGAGATTGACTGAGGACTCTCTCCTGCAGCTCCTTGGCCTGTGGCCCTGCAGTCTATTCTTGGATGTCCCTAGGCACAGGAAGCTCACCACCTCACATGGTCAATTTCCTTTTTGGATGAGTCTGCATGTGACAGGTTCTGAGCTGGGGAGAATTTTGAATCCCAGCAGCTCCAATTTCCTTCCTCCCAGTTGGCTTTTGACAGGGTTGGGACACCCTTGTCTTTCTCCAAAAATGCATTCGAACTATCTTTTCCCCTGGCCTCCTTTTGCATCCTTCTCCATTCCTTTAGCCTTTCTGACCATTGCCCTCACTCTCCTAGCAGGACCTGCCCAGTTGGGTCCCCTCCCTGGCAGCCATTGTTGACTCCCCTGTCCTCTACTCTTCAGGGTTCCGAGCAGTAGCCATCAAGTGTGGGGCCCCACATAGAGCTGCCTTCATAGACTCAGTGTGTAGAGTTGGCAGGGCCTGTGCCATCTTTTCACCACCTGGGCCTCTCAGAGCTGTCACTGCAGTTGTGGGGATGAACACGAGGTGTTTCTGTGTCAGACTCATGCCAGCAGCCTCAAACAATAGCTGACCCCATCGCAGAGCCCTTCTGTTCAACAAATGGAGAAAAGCAGCCTTTGGGGAGGGGGTGGGAGTTGGGACAGATCCTGTCCATCCATGCACCACCCATCCACTTACACTTGTCTGCCAACATGTCTGCCCACCTCCTCCTGCCTCCCATCCTTTGTGTGTCTGTTTCCCATCCACCTGCCTCCTGCTGTCCATCTCCCAGCCACTCCATCAATCTCCTCACCCATCCTCCCTCCGTATCCATCCCTCCATCCCTCATGTCCTCATACCTGCCCTCCCATCCAACACTTTCTTGCCTGCCGACCCATCATCTGCCAACTCCCACTTTTCCATCTCTCTTCCTTTCCCTATACCCATCTGCCAACTCCCCTGCAAACCTCTCCAGGCCCACTCCCACCCCTTAACTCCTTGTGCTAATCCTGTGTTTCCCCGACCTCCTATTTGACACCACACCCACCTATGCATCCAGCAGATCCTGGGCCTCCTGTGGCTGGCCAGGCCGGTGAACAGGTGTGACTATGACCCTCTAGGAGCAGTTCTCACCCTCTGACTCCTCTGGAGGAGTGCCAAGCCTCACCCTCATCTGTGTGTGTATGTGTCAGGGGTGGGGGTTGGTGAGAGTGGCTATACTTTAGTACAAGGCTGGGGTTAAGTATGGGGTTAGAAGGACTTGCCTGCTGTTTTTGAGGCACAGACCCCAGTCATTACCTGTGTATTGGGTAAGAGGGGAACAGGTGAGTGTGAATTCCTTCCCTGTCCTCCCAGGCCTAGGAACAGGTCTTTCCTGTGGCCTCGCTGCTCTCCCATTGCTCTCTTCCTCATCTAGAGCCCGCGTTCTCCAAGCTTAGCCTAGAAGCCTTTGTCTGTCCTGCTGGGCCTGGGAGGGTGGGGCAGGGACATTTACAGAGCCTGGCATTTCTTCCCCTCATTTACATTCTGGCTCTGGGGACCATGCTGACTCTCGGCCGGCCCTTGTACTTGGAGAGTCTGTAGGAGCTGCTGAGAGGAGCGTCTGACCCTGGCAACCCTTGCAATTAAATTGTCAGCTTGGCCAAGGGAACAAAGCTGCCCTTCCTGGCCCACTCAGCCTCCAGCTGAAGGCAGAGGGCATCTTCTGCACTAAAGAGGTCTGTTTGGCCTCCCAGGGAAATCGCGGAGCAGGAAGGTGACCACACTGCTGTGGCGTGTCTGGCAGGGCTTCAGAAATGCTGGTGTGTGAGTGGAGGGGCTTCGGTTGCCCTCCTGAGGCTGGGGCTCAGGCCTCCTTTCTGCCAGGGGTGTTGTGGGTGGGTGTTTGACATTTTATTTTTGCAGGAAAGTGTGTCAGGAGCTTTGTCTAGACATCACCTTGGCATTGGTGATAAGGAGAGCTGCCTTGGTCCAGTGGTTGGTGTGAGTACTGGGTCAAGCAGAGTCTTTTGGAGGGGATGTTTTCAGCCCTTTGAAAACATTCTTGTGCATATTCAAGGACTCTGGGGAGGTGCAAGATATTGTACCTGCAAAGCTTGTGTGATTGTGAAACTCCTGGAAACTTTACTTAAGGTGGCTTAGCAGTGACATACCTGGGCCCCATGTTGGCATGCTTGGATTTGGTATCCCCTCCAACCCCTGACTCCAGCTTCCTGCCATGGGTACCCAGGGAGGCAGCAGGTGATGGCTCAAGTGCTTGTGTCCCTGCTGCCCATTGTGGGCCACTTGGGTAGAATTTCTGGCTCCCAGCTTTGGCCTGACCTGTTGGCTCATGGGGGCATTTGGGAAGTGAACCAGTGGAGCTGCATGCTCTTTCTCCTAAATAAATACATACATTAAAATGCTGGACAAAGAGCACACATGCTGCAGGGCACTATAGGAAATAACTTTTAGAGAAGCCAAGGTTTACATTTTTTAATGTAAACCTTAAAATATTGGATATTTAGAAGATAGAGAAAAGCAAAGAAAGATAAATGAGGAGATGTTCGTTTTCTCAGTTAACTGAGGCACTTAAAGTGCTTGAACTAACATACAAATCTTTTAAAAAAATAAAGTGTATTTACTTTTATTTATCAGAAGGAGGGAAAGATATCTTCCATCTGCTGGTTCACTCCCCAAATACCCACAGCAGTGAGGGCTGGGTCCTCTTACCTGAGCTGCAAAATGTGCACAGACCCTGCCTTTGCCTGATGCCAGGCACGGATGAGTGAGCAGACCTGGAACCACTTCTGCCTGCAGGATGTTGGCTTGCCAGTGTCTTCTCCCCTGGCCAGGATTCTGTGCCTGGAATGGGGCCATAGCTCTGGGCTGCAGGTGCATGTGTGCTAGGTTGGAAGGTCACAGCTCATCTGCAGGCCTGAGGGGACTTGATGTTTTTCCTTTTCCAACTTCCGGCGACTGCTATACTCTCTGCCCAGATCAGCATCAGCTTCCAGGGCCTCGTTGATTCCAACCATGAGTCTCCTTCCTCTTTCTTGGCCTGGTGGGAACCTTTGAATGACACTGGACCCACTTAGGTAGACCAGACCCTCAAGGTTCTGAGTCCTGGTCCCCTTGGCCATGCAAACTGGCATGGCCATGGGCTCAGGGACTAAGGTATGGTGTGGGTACACACTCTTCTATCTGCCATATCACCTCTTTCCTTTGGTACAGGTGCTGAGTTACCTCCTCTAGGGCTATGGAGTCATGCACACTGGCACCTGCATGACTCAAAGGAGCTCCAGGAGCGCCCCTCCCCCAAGCAAGGGCCTGGGGCAGCTCTCCTGGTCCATGCCATGGAGCCCTCATGTCCCCAGTAATCACAGGAATTCTGGGCAGCTTACCTCGTCTCTGCGTCTGCTCCCTCCCCGATAAAGCGCGGGAGGTGCCATAGGGCTGGGACAGGGGATGTGGTTGTGTTCATCACCAAGACCACCAGAGGTGATGAGGAATGTGTGGACAGGCCTCCTCAGCTGTACAACATGAAGGTAGAGGCTGCTTGGCTTGCCTGGAAGTTTCCTGAGCTGCCTTTGGTTCGTGACCTTGCCCTTCCTTCTGGCTTCAGCAGGAGGTGACCGGCTGGGCCATCTCAGCCCCTGCCCCTCTTCTGCCTGGGGACCGGGTGCACCTCACTCTGCATCTTGCTGCAGCTCATTTGGACTTAGCAGGAGCTTAGCCTGCCCCCTGAGTCACTGTTCTCTCTGGTTGTTCTGACTGAAAATGAGGTGGTGACTTTATGCAGATGGAAAAGGGGTTTCTGTGACCTCTTTCTCTGAGCATAGCTCCCAGGAGCTGACTTCAGTGTAGAGCTCTTTATTCTGTTAAATTGGCATACACATGAACATGAATCATAACTCATGGCACTTAAATTCATCATCTGCCATAGCACAAATTTAAAGAAACAAGCACCTGGCTACAGAATGCTGACTTTCCTACAAATCCTTGATTTGTTTGCATTCTTGTATCACTTTTTGGAAGAGAGGTAGATAGGGTTGGAGAGACAGAGATAGAGAGAGAAAGAAGAAAGAGAGAGAGAGAGACAAAGAGTGGCAAAGAGAAATGCAATGACAGATATAGAGCGAGATCTCCCATTCTCTGGCTCACTCTCCAAATAATTGTGTCAACCAGAGCTGGGTCAGCTGGAAGCCAGGAGCTGGGAATTCAGTCTGGATCTCCCACACAGGTGGCAGGGACCCAGGTACTTGAGTTCTCACCTGCAGTCTCCCAGGGTGTGAATTACTAGAAAGCTGGGACAGATAGAGAGATATCTTCCATCTGCTGATCCACTCCCCACATGACTGCAATGGCTAGTGCTGGACTGGGGATGAAGCATGAGCCAGAAGTTTCTTCTGGGTCTCCCACCTAAGTATCAGGGGCCCAGACACCTGGGTTATCATCTACTACTTTCCCAGCTATTAGCAGGGA